TAAGACTTCTCTTGTTTTTGTTTCATCACCTAGAATGTTCCCCCTGTGTTAGCTAGAGGTCAAGTGTGCTGATTAAGGGAAACAGCATCATTGGCCCATATTCAGGCTTAGAACCATGAAAGGGAAGAATCCAGTCTAGAGAAATTTCAATTACATTTATTTTTAAGTGCGTGAGTTTTACTGTATGCCATAGAGTAGAATTCTTGGATTTAAAAAAAATTCCAGAAGGTTGAGGCAGAACAATATTTTGTGGTTTGTGTGTACATATTTACTGGAGAAGTGAGTGGGTGACTGAGAGCATGGAAAAGAATAGAATTAATGGATCTTAGACAACACATCAACAGGACTGCTGATAGACATTTGACAGATTGGTAAGTATCATTGTGCTGAAATATTTTCAATCAAGGCATTTGTGAAAAAGAAAATGCCAAAATTCCAGCAAACAAAAGAAACATATATTTAATGTTTGGGAGCTTCTAATTAACTCTAGGCAATCTAAGGGATTTGTTGTTAGAGAAAATAAAAGGGATTGAATAACTACAGTCTGACCCAGCTGTTTAGAATAACTTTGATTTTCAGCAATGCAAAGCCAAACTGGTATAAAATTCTTCCTCACCACCATCACTGTCAATCATGTTATCACATCAAAGGCCGGATTCTTTTGATTATTTCTTGGTTGCTCCCAGTCCCTTTTTAAATATCTCTTTCCTTTAGAGGACACCTCTTTGGATGTTAATGCAGCTAACAAAGGCACAATGATAAGGAAGTGGAAAGAGGAGGGGAGGAGAAAAGAGTGAGCTAGATAGTTTCTAGAGCCTGAGGAAACCTTTGGGACTGTGATTCCACCAGACCTGGAGCACTCTTGAGAGATGAACAAGTACAAGGATTATGTCTGTTCCAGGAAATGTGAACTACACTTAAACTCCACTGTTTCCTCAAACACAGTGATCTCTGCATAGATATTTACGGATGGATAGGCAAGGAGTCACGATTGCCCAAGTCCATAGTATGAATAAAGATGAAACTTCCTGGGGATTTCTGCAATGCAAGGCTAAGTTGAGCTTGAAAGATCAAGGAGTCCTTTAAGATTGAGTCTTTCAATTCCAGCCATCAGACAACACTCCTTGAATTTCTGTTCCTGCATTGGGAGTCAGAAAATGACTTCTACTCCCAATTTAGCCATGAAGTAACCATGTTACCTTGGCAAGTTTCTCTGCCTCCTCACTGTCAAATGAGGAACTTAGATTAAGTTAATTAATACTCTTCCAGCTCTCACATTCTGGGATTCTATGAAGCATGAGTTCCACCATCCTTTCCCCATGGCGGGAGAGCTGTAGAAGTAGAAGAAGCCTCTTTTCTGATGCTCAAGGGCATTTATTCTAGCTTGGATTGGACGGTAAATGCTAACAATAAGAGAGTAGGTTTTCTCTCTGCTAAGTGCACCTTGTTCCCTGACTCTTAGGACAACCTCATTAATCTCTTTCCAATTATTTCAGAGCTCTGAATGTCCCTGAATATATGTTACTGGGCTCTTGTTCTCCTGTTTTTAAATGTGGTATTGCGCACTTTGTTAGAATAACAAGTAGGGGAAATATGTGCTGAGTATGGATAGGAAGTGGTTTCCTTAGCAACAATTACAGTAAGAAAAATATATCAAAGGATGTGGGTTTTCCCCTACTTTCATTACCCCCAAATCTAGCCCCTAGCTTATCCTTAATCTTTCCTTTCTTTTTATTGTAAGGTAAGATATAGAATCATGTACTCCTGATGATCTCTTATAATTTGGGGGTAAACCAAGATTCTACATATGCACAAAGCAGAGTGGGGCCTTCACTGCTGTTTGGGGTGTTATATTTAAAGCACATGTGTATACCTGGCTTGTTTCCTCTTTGGAACTGTTCAAAAATCCTAATGACCTATAAAGGCTGTTTTCTTTACCTTTCTTGGATTTCCATACGCTTATGCCTATTCCTTCTTAATGTCGATTCAAAGCACAAATACCCCAAACCATAGAAACCATCGTGTGTAAATATTAAGGCAAATCAGGTATTTACCTGAAGTCATAAGAACTAAGAGAGTCTTGTAAAGTAATACTTGGCCTCTGGGCTGGGCTGCCCTCTTTTATCTTTTTCAGATAAACCCTCTGCCATCTGAACTCATGGTTTCCTCTATTTTAACTTTTTACTTTTCTGTGATAGAGAGGAGACTGACCTCAACATGCCAGAATTAGTCTGCGAAGTCTCAGTAAAGATCCAAGAACATAACTTTCTGGCATGATTTGGCATTGCCTAAGCTTGGAGCCTTCTCAATTAGTAAGGAACCAGAGGAGTTCTCAAGGACGTTACTGTCGAAATTTGATTCTGGAGATGAAGATTTGGGGATAGTCTCTTCTGTGTCTTGCTTCAGGGATGGGAGCACAGCAAACCTAGAAGGTGATATTTCTGGTCTATTCTAGGTAGTTGGTCCACAAATTAATATTGATCCTTTTCTTGATGTCTTCCTTCTGAACTGCAGGAGAGACAGTAGTCATGACATAATTTTAATGCCATTTCATCAACCAGTATTTTCTCTCCAGATGTCATTGCTAATGAACCATACATGACCTCCTTCCTTTTAGGAGAGGGAGCTTCCTACTGCCATCCCATGCTTCTGTGTAGGAGAAAGGAAACACATTTGGTCTCAACTGATTGCATGTGTTTTTCTTTGGTCCAGGGAGCTGAGATGTATAATTCCTTTCCCCAGTTCTATTCAGAGTGCTCTGTTTTTAAAATAACAGTGAAATGACCACAAAGCAGAAAAAGAGAGACAAGTTGGAATTTGAAGAGTGATGTTTCTGAATTTCTGATGTAGGAAACAAATAGGTCAAGTGAGCCAGCAGCTCAGCCCCACGCAAAAACCACGTGAAGAGAGGCTTCGAAGCTTAGACCTCAGGCACACCCACTGCTGGGGTCCCTGGTGAGCGGGGACTGGGCTGGTGGAGAATAGTATTGCTTGGTAATGTGAGGCCACGGTTGGAAATGAGAAGAATAATCCCAAGACCAGCTTGAGGGTTCTGGCCAGTCCTTTTCAGCTGAAAGTTACCCCTACTTGACCATGGTTTACTGGTGTCTCTTGACAGCCTGTAAGTTCTATGGAGTTAGCACACAAGCATTTCCAGTGAAGCCCGGTAGTCTTCAGCATCATATTGAAGCATTAAATTGCATATACTATAATGTGAGTTGAACAAAAGCCCATCCCGGGAGTGTGAAAGAGCAGAATCAACAGGTTGTTTTCCCTTCAATTATAACTTAAGTTTCTGCCTTTCCACACTGTGCTTATTCATATGAACACATGAAGTAAAAAGAAGGGACTCTATTGGCCACATTCTTCTTGGTTCAGCCTCTCACTTCAGTTTTCCTAGGCATTTCCACAGCCTAGGAAATGCAGTTGTACAGAAACTAACCAGCAAGGAGGCCTGGGGGAGGGGAGTGTTTTGAAATAGCTATGTGAATTTTAAGACGACTTCTAGAAAATAAGCAGCTTCTGCAGTCCACCTGTTCACATTATAATTCCTTTCTGCTGTTCAATGTGTTACTCTCTTTCCTTGTTCCCCAACGCTTGGCATATAGTTTGAAGTGGAAATGCTTTCCATATTTACTCTGTCTGGGTTCTGTTTCATCTGAGATTGGCAGGTAGTTCAACTTTCATTTTGGGCTATGCCTTAAGGAAAAAAGGCTATCCCTCATTTTTTCTTTTCCTGTTTATATCTTTTTCCCTCCCCAAGGTACTCTTTTCCTCGTTCTCCTTCCCTCTACTTTCTGTCTGCTCACATTGTCTAGGTCAGATTTACCCTTCCCTAGTTATTTTCTCCTAAATTCAGCTTCCCTCTACCTCACCATCTACTCTGTGGGGACGATGAGTTACTCTGTGAAATGGTGGATAGCTTGATTTCTGATATTCAAGAATCCTATTTCTTGCCCAGTTTGACTCTAAAAGGGCTCAAAGAAAATGACTGCAGATTAAAGATGGAGTATAATTTATCAACATAGACAAGAAAGAGATTTCCCAGACACTGCACCAACTAGTTCCTTTCTGTCTTGCATATTTGCATGAAGAAGGAATCTTTTAGGCCCATATTTGGGAGGGGAGGTACAAGAACCTATTATAGAAATGCAAGGACAAGAGGGCCTTTTGTCCCCATCACTGCACTAAAAGGGCTCTTGTCAAGGTCATCTGGGACCTCTGTGTTGCCAAATTCAACAGTCGTTTCAGTGTCCTCATCCTATCTGACCACTCACTAGTGTTGTCTCACTTGTCTTCTGTTTCTCTCCCCACTGCTAGCCACTTTTGTTCAGTCTTCTGGATGGGCCTCCCTTCTCTCTCCAGCTCAGGCCTTTTCTCTTCTCCATCCACAGTCTCTGAGGATCTCCTTTTAAATATCATTTATTTTCGGAAGACTTCTAAGTATCAATCACCAGTCCTGACTTCTCTCCAAAGCTCCAGACTTTTAACAAGAAGAGATCTAGTTGGGCACATACCTCCTGACGTTACTTCTGAAAGCTTCAAGAGATAACCTGACACCTCCTCTGGAATAGGCATCTCAGATTGAACCATGACCAACCGTTCTCAATGCCACTCACCTCCCCAACCTGCTTCACTCAGTCTTTTCAATTCCATTAAGTGGTACACCATCCACCCAGTTGCTCAGTCAAAAGTCACACCCCTACCTCCAATCCATCACCATTTAGCTCTACCTCCAAAATACATCAGAAATCCATTCATTTTTCACAACTCCATGGCTATCCCCTTGTCCGTGCCACTATATTTCATTGCATGCATGACTGCAATCGTTTCCAAAGAGGTTCCCTGTTTGTACTTGTCCTTGCACTTTCTCCATACAGCAGCCAGAATAATTTTCAAAAATGTCAATCAGATTGCATCATTCCCCTTCTTAATCACCCGTTGCACTGTCCCGGATGCCTGCTCCCCTGCCCCATATAACACTCTTCTTTGCATTGTCTAGTACGTCACTTGCACTGTAGTCCTGACCTGCTGAAAAGTTCAAACTTCTGTATGCTGTTTTCTTTCTCATAGGTGAAATGAGGACAAAAATCTACTGGATCTGAAAATCACTTAAAGTATTTAATTACTGTGCAGGTAAGAAAGGTTCCTAGGTAATCCCTGCCTTTTTTTAAATAGGGTGGGAATTTCAGGGACCAGTGGTGGTGTTTACTTTCCTATTATCTGACCAGGGGTACTGGAGAGAGTTGGGGAAAACAGTGTGGACTTGGGGAGACAGACATGAACTAGTGGGAGAATAAAATGGGAAAGTAAAACATGATAGGGGGAGTGTTAAAAAGAGGGGCACACTGAATAAATGTTTTCATTTATAGTTCTTATTATAGTAACTTTTATAAATTGAGTTGCTGTAGAAAAAGGAGTAATACAATGATATTAGTTAGCATCATATTAAAAATTATACGATTTTTCACTGAATTTATATAATCTTTCTGCAAAGGGCTAAAAATGGTATAAAAAGTTCTAATGATAATATATTATTGAGCAACGTGTCTATAATAGACATTAATTATCTGGTATTAAAAAAATCCATAGAGCTTTCTAAAGGTACAATATGCTAATAAAACACCAGAAACCTAATTGCTACTCTAAGAATTTAGAATTGAAATTAGCTTGTTGATAGGAAAAATTTTAATTGGAAAAATATTCACAAAACATTTTCTATGATCTAGTTGTTCACTGTAAGGAAAAATAAAAACAAAATAAAAACAAAATGCCCAGACCTTGTTAAAGAAATATCGCTATTAAATTTCCTCTTTTTCTAAGATATCTTATTGTGTGCCTTTCAGAGCCTTTTATAAGTCAGCCACTAGAGAGCAAACTTCTTCTTTTTATCAGGCTGTAGTTTTATTTAAACACACACACACACACACACACACACACCCTGCATATACCTCAGCACGCTTACAATACCACATTATCTCTGACTGTAAAATCTGATAATATAGCTTCTGGATGCCTGAGATGGTGGGTGTGAGGGATGAAAGTAGGGAATTTTAAGGCCGTTTATATTAAAAACATAAGAAAGAACAAGATAAGATATTGTAATGTTGAACTACCTTCTTGGAGTGAAAATGAAACCTTCTGCTAATGGAGCATAAAGTCTTATGTTTCATTCCATGTAATAAAACATGATAGGCATTGTTTGGTCTGACAGGCATCTTGGGCCTTTTTATGAGGCTAGGGTCTCTAGAGAGCTCAAAGAAATGATACTCTTTCCAGGTGAAGTGTGGATAAATTACATTGTCAGTTACCTTTACCGCCTTCAGTTGCAGAGGCTTGAGCCAGGCCAAGAAAGCTGCTAGGTGAGCAACATTCTCATCTATTGGACGAATGACCGCTATCAACATCCGTTCCAAAGGTCGGTATGGTCCCCAAACATCAATCTGCAGGCAGATGAATCTGCTGAAGGGTGGGATGCAAGGCACAGTGTGGGATTTACTGCACGTAGAAACCCCAAGTTACCAGGCCCCAGGAGATATTTCTCAGCAGCTTTTGGGCCAAGATGGAGAGATTTAAGTGAGCAGAACTGCTTTCTCTCCCGGTAGACTGTTAACAATTGGCCTTTTGCACACCATCTTAGGGACTCATGGCTGAACAAAGTCATTGGAATCAAATTTCATCTCTGGTGTCTGGGCTTTGGGATATTTGAGTATTTACAGTTTAGAATTTGAACTTTTAGGGTATTTTTAAAAACGAATACTTAATAGCCACAGGTAGATTATAAAAGATATCCAAGAATGGGGTTTTCAGAATCTTCCAACGGAACATTTTCCTGGGTTTATTGGCTATTTCAGGTAGGATATTTTTCTTATATTGAATTGACCCATGTGATATTGCCAATATGTGAACAGTTTGTTTCATAAAATGACAACATCACAGGATTTGGTTTACTGCTTTACTCTACAGGGCCTTCTGTGGGGGGCCTCAATGGTCCCCACTGTTCACCAGTTAATAATCAATCAGCAATCATTGCATGCTCACCAAGCACTCTGCACAGTGCCAATGTAACTCAACAAAGACACACACGCGTTGAACACTTGCCCCCAAGGAAAGAACTGAGCCAGATGGATTCAAGGAAGAGGGAGTCTGCCTGGCAGTTCTGGCTCCACTGAAGCCCCCAGGGAATATGGGGAGTCAAGAACGAACATCCATCCCATGGAGTGCTTTTCTTTTCTTTTTTTTTTTTTCTTTTTTATTTATTTATTCATGAGAGACAGAGAGAGAGAGGCAGAGGGAGAAGCAGGCTCCCAAGGAGCAGGGAGCCCAATGCGGGACTCGATCCCAGAACCCCGGGATCATGACCTGAGCCGAAGGCAGACGCTTAACCATCTGAGCCACCCAGGCGCCCTGGAGTGCTTTTCTTCTGCCTAGTTCTTTACACTGATTCTTATGCACATTGTGTGTGTGTGTGTGTGTGTGTGTGTGTGTGTGAAACTTTAGGTTTACATGCCAATAAATGAAATCCAGAAAGAGCTATTTTTACTGAAATCTCTCTAAAACTCCAGGGCCCATGGGATGCCTGGGTGGCTCAGTTGGTTGTCTGTCTTCGGCTCAGGTCATGATCTCAGGGTCCTGGGATCAAGTCCTGCTTTGGGCTTCTTGCTCAGCAGAGAGCCTGCTTCTCCCTCTGCCTGCCGTTCCCCTTGCTTGTGCTCTCTCTGGCAAATAAATAAACAAAATCTTAAAAAAAACCCCCGAACACAAAAAACCTCCAGGGCCCTGGCGGAATTTTTTTCATAGCCCACAAGCTGATTGTAACTCAGGGCAGAGGTAGGGTAGAGGGAGGCTTTGGTGGATTGACAGCTCCAGAGGTCACAGGGCAGTAGTGTCACCTCCAGGGCCCCAGGGCTTCCGCTGGGTGGCAGAGGTGCCCTGCAGAGCTTCATGCAGAGGACACAGCAGCCTTGTCTGACACCACATGGGATGGCTCCCATTTGAGCACATTTGAGGCAGCCCCTGGGAATGCCCAGACATTCTGGGCAGCTGGGAGCTCTTTGCAGGAGAAGAATCCTGGGACAGCAGGCAGGGTGAAAGTCAGCAAAGAAAGGTTGTGACCCAGTGCTACCCAATTTGTATCTTTTAAGCGGCTCTGGTCCCGGGCACCTCAGTTACATGTGACTCCTGTTTGCAATTCAGCCATTTCCTTAGTAATTGAAGGTCGGAAAAGTTTTTAAAAAGTTCTCCCCCTGCCTAAGAAAGTAATATATCTTACTGTAGTTAAAAGAAAAAAAGACAAAAAATTAGGTTACAATTACCATTAGCTTATCGTGCAGTGATAACTACTCTGAGTATATTTTAAAAAATGTAGTTCGATGTATTCAGATTTTATATTAACAGAAGGCATGTATATTTGGAACTTGGTAAATTTATGTCAATAGCTATATATTGCTATAAAATTTTTACCAATTTTAATCCTCCCCTTTCACTTAACATTATATTTTGAATATCTGCCTACATTATTACACACAAATATTCTACAAAATGAAATAGTGCTCAGTGGTATAAAAGACACTCCGTTCTCCCCGCAGCCTTATCTGCTTTGTCCTGTCTCAAGAGGAACCGCTTTCCGTTATTCTACAGCAGCTTCTTTTGATACACAGTTCCATCTTTAAAACTAGTATTATATTTACCTGTCAGCGGAGATACCATGATCACGGACGTGGTCTTCCCAGGGTGATGCTTAACCCGTGTACTCCGGCTCTGCTCACCCCTGCGACTTCCTGCACGATCCGTGGAAGGGGCCCTGGTTCGCGCTTTCCCCTGATCCTCTCGGGTTCGAGACCACACTGGAGCTCTTCGGCCTCCGTAGTTGCGCGCCCTGCGTTTTGCCCCCAGTTCTCATAGGACGAGTTCACTATGTGGTGAGAGCGAGCTGGGTTGAGAGGCCCGGTGTGAGTTCTTAAGCAACTCGGTTTTCTTTTTGCCTGACTTGTCCGTGGAAGAAAACCCGTAAGTTTGAACTTTTTTGCTGGTTTTGTATTTGCACCTCCGCTTTTTTCATCCATAGGAAATCGTGGGGAGTCCTAGAGTGAAGAAAGCAATCCAGACTGGGAGTGAAGGAGTGCAGGGGTGAAGATGAATCAGAGCAGCAGGTGGATTTGAGGTCAGAGCTCGGGAAGGCAGGGGTAGTGTCCACGCCACAGGGGTAGATCAGGAATTGGGAACTAGAGACCCAAGCTGGCCAGGTAGGAAGGGGTCTGAGACAATATATTAAAAGAGTTTTAAGGGGCGCCTGGGTGGCTCAGTCGTTAAGCGTCTGCCTTCGGCTCGGGTCATGATCTCAGGGTCCTGGGATCGAGCCCCACATCGAGCCCCACATCGGGCTCCTGCTCCGCGGGGAGCCTGCTTCTCCCTCTCCCACTCCCCCTGCTTGTGTTCCCTCTCTCGCTGTGTCTGTCTCTGTCAAATAAATAAATAAAATCTTAAAAAAAAAAAAAGTTTTAAAAATAAAAAACCCCCTAATATTAACATCCTACTATTTCTTCATTTACCAAGAGTATACAGATAGTGAAGACTTTTGCTTTCTCTTACCCTCTCTTTCTTGAATCTTCCTGATGTAATTATATTTTAATTTTTAGTTAAATACATATTCAGTGTTTTCATGATAATTATGAGAATATTGTTCACTACCGACCTAAGTAATGTGCTATGACTATGTTTTCTTTCTTGTGTATTTTTTATTTTTTTCTTGGAGTTAATAATTGTCATTTTCATTTGCTTAAATTTCTTTGAAACATGGTAAGTCTTCCTGCCTTCCAATAGCTCTGTAAAATGGCTCTCTATACAATTTTCCACATGGTCAAAACTGTCATATCACATATCAGTTCCATTTCATTCTGTAAAATTCTTTCTGTGCACCTCTGGCCTCCTACTCCATTCTGGACTGATTCTCTCTAGATTTTTAAAATGATGGACTGTTGGGGCACCCGGGTGGCTCGGATGGTTGAGCGTCAGCCTTTGGCTCGGGTCATGATCCCGGGGTCCTGGGATCGAGTCCCTCGTCGGGCTCCCTGCTAGGCCTGGAGCCTGCCTCTCCCTCTGCCTCTGCCTCTCTCTCTCTCTCTGACTCTCATGAATAAATAAATTTAAAAAAAATTAAAGAAAAAAAAGATGGACTGTTATCAGTTTCAGCATATACCTTCAATATTTGTATTATTTGTTTATAAAATATATTTTCTGTAATAAAGTAGTGTTTACATTATGAAACAAATAAAAATAGAAAACCCAAAAGGCTAACATAAAAATAAATTTAATATTTCCTTTATGTGCCCCTAACAATTGGCTTTCACTCACTGGGATGTGAGACCTCTGCTCTAGGTTTACTCACAATATCTTGGAACTTTTTGCCAAAAATCTAGGAAATCCTTTTGGCTATTTCTTGTGTTGCATCTTGTTTCTTGGGTTCCATGTTTCATCCTTCTGAGTTCTTTCTCATTTGGATGGAGAACGTCTTGTTGTTGCTTCCTAGGAAAAGGTACAAGGGAAGTATATTTCCTGAGATTTTCCTTGTCTCAAAATGTCTTTATATAAGAGAATGAAAATAAAGTGACAGGCTGGGAAAAAATATTTTCAAAACATTTATCTGATAAAGGACTTGTGTCCAATATATACAAAGAACTCTCAAAACTCAGCAATAAGAGAGCAAATAACTCAGTTAAAAAATGGGCAGAAGATCTGAATAGATACCTCACCAAGAAAAATATATAGATGTCAGATAAGCATATGAAAAGCTGCTCAAATCATATGTCATTAGGGAATTGTAAATTAAAACAATAATGAGGTCCCACTACACGCCTATTGGAATGGCCAGAATTCAAAATACTTACAACACGAAATGCTGTGGAGCATTCATTCATTCACTGCTAGTGGGAATGCAAAGTGGCATAGCCACTTTGGACAACAGTTTGGCAGTTTGTCACAAAATTAAACATAGTATACAATCCAGCAATTATGCTCACTGATATTTACTCACATTATTGTGCTTTAAAAGTCATTTGAATTGGTTCCTTTCTGTGTGGTTTTGCCCCCAACCAAATACACATTTAGGTTCATTTTTTTTTAACTTCAAAAAGTGCTTTCTTGAAACTCAATTTTTTAAAAAATATTTTGTTTATTTGGCAGAGAGAGACACAGTGAGAGAGGGAACACAAGCAGGGGGAGTGGGAGAGGGAGAAGCAGGCTTCTCGCTGAGCAGGGAGCCTGATGCGGGGCTCGAACCCAGGACCCTGGGATCAAGACCTGAGCCAAAGGCAGATGCTTAACGACTGTGCCACCCAGGCACCCCAAAACTCAATTTTTTAAAAATAATTTGTGAGATATTTACCTGGTTCCAAAGTCAAATCTATAAAACCAGATATATTCAAAGAACTTTAGTCTTTATTACTTTTCCCTCAACCTCAATCCCATTCTGTCTTTTACAGGGAACCATTGTTTTTATATTTTAGCCTTTCATTTAAAAAATATAGTCATATATACATGTATACACGTACATTGTGTGTGTGTGTGTGCGCGCGCGCATGGAGGGGCTTTGCAATCTATTTCACTGGCCCTTCTTGTGCCTTCCCTTGCTAATTGCTGTGCTGTTTCTTTCCGCTACTCTTCTCTTCCCTTTTGCCCTTTACCTCATGTTTGTTTCCCCACCCGTTATCTTTCTTTAGCTCTTCATTCTTTCCTTAAGTACTCTCTTTCAGTCCAGTGGCTTCAGCTACTACCGATTTATAGTGATTGGAGTGGGGGTGATGGTCCATAAAACTCTATTTCTCTAGACTTGTGGTTTTAACTTCCTGCTGTATATGCATTTGTTTTCATTTGTAGATTTCTCAAGCTCTACACTTCCCAAAGTGCACTTATCATCTCATCTCACCCTATTGTAGCCTCTCATCTTTTTCTGTGGTTCTTCTATTAAGAGCACCTTCAACCATCCCAATGCCCAAGGTATCAGCTGTTGGCTTAGCACCTCCCTAACTCTCAATCCTCATATTCAATTGATTTCCACGTCCTACGGAGTCTACTTTCAACTGGTTTCTTTCAAATTCCTCTTTTCCTCAGCATTACCACCTTCTTTAGGGTCTCATTATCTCTTTTCTCAACCTGGTAGAAGTTTTTCAATTGATCTTTCTGCATCTGGACTCTCTGTGTTGCTTTGGTCCTCCATCAATATCAGAGTAAATTTTCGGAAACTTAGGACATATCATTTTCCCAATTTAAATCCTTTGATTGCTTCCTGTTGCCTTAACATTCAGTGATTTCTTTTCTGTAATCTGGTTCAAGTCAGCTTTTTCACATTCTCTTTCACCATATCTCTCTCTCTCATACTTTGTTCCATCAACCGCTCTGAGGGCTATGTTTTTAGCCTGAACACATGGCTCACTTGAAAAATTTCTTTGTGCTTATTCTTCCCTTCCTGAAACATTCTTACCCTCTCTCTATGCATCCTAAAACTGTTCATTCTTTAAGGCACAGCTTAAATGTCATCTTCCTGGAAAAGTTAATTGTTCCCAGTTCAAAGTTTGTAGGACCCCTCTTCCTAAATGAATATAGCATTTATCACATTATTTTATAGTGAGCTGAATAAAGAGCAGTTTCCCCATGGTAGAATTTAAGTTCCTTGAGGGAAACGGGCTATTGATTATTTATCTCTTTGCCCCCTACCTTAGTCAGTGCCTGTCCTTACTAATTATTTGTTGAATAAATGTATGCTCAATAAATATTTCTTGAATTGGATGTGAATCATTTCATGATGGGTGATACAAATAGGTGCCACAAAGGGACTCTCCATTTAGTGATTGATGCTTGTTTTATGGAATTTATTCTTGTTATAGTCATTTTATATCTTTTAGCCATCCTTAATTCTTTCCTTCCCCCTTTCCCACCATCCCCGTTGTCACATCTGTATTCACGGTATTTTTACAGCCATCCCTCTCTTCCTTCCCATCCCATTGACACTACAGTAATGCAAGCCCTTACCATCCTATGCTTGACAGTTTCTGTCTCTCTTAACCTCTCTGCCTCCAGCCCATTTGACCTCCTGTAACTAGATAGATAATATTCTTATACTTACTCAATTATTTCCCCATTCAAAAAAGATCATTGGTAGTGTCTTGATGTATAAAAGAGAAATCCGGATTTGTAAACCTGTTCAATGAGCCCCTACTACCACTTTAGCTTTATTACCACCTTTCTGACTCACCTATTCAAACTTACGGTTTCAATGACATCATCCTGCATACACAGTTTTTATGTTTCCACCTCTCTGTCTTTGTGTAAGCCATTTTCTCTCCCCGAAATGCCCTTCTCTTCTTGGTGCATCTAAATTGTATAGATTGTCAAGACAGTTATGATAACCTTGCAGAAACAGAACAAGATGGACCCATTATCCAATATTCAGTTCCCACCCCAAATTTGGTTTGGATGTCAAGATAGATGATGTTATGCATGCAACAAGAGGGAATGAAAGGTTTGTTACATAATGGGAATTTCTATGGAGAACAATGCGGGCTTCCAAAGTGGTCTAAAATGACCTGAGAGAGTAGGAAATGGAGACCGTGCTTTCACTGTGATTAGGGAGTGGGACCGGATGAGGGCTCCCACATGGGCTGGTGCTAGTGTGTTTTGAACTGACTACTGGTACCAAAGGAGGGGGCAGCCAGATTTTGTATCAGCTTGCAGAAGGGGTACAAGAGTGATGGGGCTTGAAAGCTGTCAGTAGTCAAACATCAAAGATGGAGTCAGACTTTATTACAAAGACCCAATTCAAATCCCACTGACCTCCCTAGTGCTCTGATATTGCTCTTCTTATGAATTCCCAGAATTCAGCATTTGCTGCCTCATTCTGTTCTTTAACTTTCCCTGTATTTAACTCATGGAAGTAAATTTAATTATTTTAGAGTCGTACCTTCAAGGGGTGAATGCAAGTTTTATGTCCTGAAGCGTATACAGTTTGGAATGGAGCCCACTTTATGAAAAAGAGTACAAAATAGGTACAAGGCCTTAGAAGGATTTGTGCTTGCTAGCAGCCCTGAATGTTCAGCTTCATTAGCTTCACGGTAAATCTGTCTTTGAATTCCTCTTATACATTAAAAAATGTATTTAAAAATTTTTTACATGCAGTAAAGTTTACTTTTATTGGGTACAGTTTAATGAGTGTGTATATATGCATAGATTCTTGTAACCCCCATGACAGGGTATTCATACTCTCCCTGTCCTTTTATATCTTGATTTCTTCCCTAGACTCTAATGCCTTGTATCTGGTAAGAGTTTGTTGTTGATGATGATAATAGTGAGAAAAATGACATTTTACTTTCCAATAGGAATAGAATCCTAGTGACAAATAGGACCATTAAACATATTCTCTGATAAGGATTATGTAGGAAAACTTCCATTCAATTAATTCAGAATTCACAAATTTTAAAAAATGACCGTGTTTTGGTTTGAGACCCTCAGTGATGAAATTCAACTACTTTTCCATCCCTGCCTTTGACATTTGACTTAATTGGCACAGCATAGTACCTTGAAATGTAGATGTTTAATAAATACTTGGTGATTTAAATTAGTGGCCTAGCTGGCTAAATCAGAAGTTACAAGGCTAAACTCCAAGTGGCATGCTTTTTAAAAATGTGTGTGAAAACATGTTTATTTGTTTATGGGCAGATATATTTCCCGTTCTTTTAGAGTTCTAGAAACAAGATCAGTAATCACAGTACTGCAAATCAGATCCTTGAAGGAGGGCTGATTTCTCAAATCTAGAGAAAGCTAGGTCTTTTCAAATGAAGCAAACTGAGAGGGGAGAAGAAAAAGTCTTTTGCTGAGGCAGCAATTGAAATATATAATAACTACCTTGTAGTCTAAATGCCCCAGTATCCAAAATGATTCTGCATAGTACAAATCCCATTTTGCCCAGGCTCATCTGCAAATGATGAATACTTAATTTACTGTTTTCACAGGATCGTTACTACTAGACCTTAAATTTTCACTTAATCTGCAGTCAAAAATACCTTTTCAACAAGGAAAGGAGGAAGTGGAATGCTCTTCTCACTTCCTTAGTGCCTGATGATGAATTGTTGTCAAATATCGCTGTGTACCTGGCCTTCAGCAGGAAATAATTGTGCCTGGGTTTGCTCACTGCAGAGCAAAGAAGGGTCACACTACTG